TGAACCACCGGAGGGCGACTCTTGCACACAACCATTTGGCCGGACCTTGTTGTTGGCGGAGCAAAACCGAACAACCGACCGCATTTCCCAACAAGATTTCTTCATAAAATGTGTCCCTACGCTAAACTGCCCTTGTGGAACACAAATAAAATAGTTATCGTTTGATAGGAGAAAGCCAAATTAAAATATAATAAAATAAGGATAATACTGATTTAAAAGAAGTTTATATCTCAGCCTCTCAACCTCAGTAGGTGGCGACAATATGCAGAAAAGGAAGGTTAAAAATAAAAACAGCTTATTTGTAAATAAATAAATATAAAATGGCGGAACAATACTGGACCTTAATTACTTGGATGTTCTCTTTGGACCACGTTGCCAAATAATAATAATAATAATAACAACAACAACAATAATAGTAATAATAATAATGATGATGTTTTGTTTTAATACAAAATGTGATATGTGGACAGTGAAATATTAAATATTATTGAGTTTATTTGCTGTGAAAATAAATGTTACACAACATGAGTAATTCTCTGCCATTTTTATTCTGTAAAAGAAGCTCTCAGAGCAAAAACGATTGGAGGTCCCTGTCTTATTCAAACTAGACATCAAGTTCACATTAGGATGTTCTCATTCAAGTCAATTATTAAGTTTTAAGTATGCACATAATAACAGAACAATATTGAGTACAAGTATTAATACAGATATAATCAGTTTAAATTTTCACAAGCTGTTTGCTGTACAGACATTTACATTTTACATCATTTACACAATTCGTCAATGAACAATAATAAAGAGACACAAACACAGGCTGTCCCTCGTAACTCTTTTCTTTTTCTACATAACTGTAACGTAGTAATGTTCACATCTGCAGTAGTTAATGAAGGAAAGAAATAACACTGCATTCATGTATGGCTGCACAGAATGACGTTATCAAATTAACACTTAAGCTCTTTTAAAGGTCTGCATAGAAACATCTTAACCCTGAATACATTGGTCATTTGTTAAAATTTGATTTGATTTTGTATTTGGACTGATCATTTGTTTTGGTGGGAAGACAAATTCTTCAACACATTTCATAAAAATGTGTCCAGAAAATCTCTCCTGATTTTGTGCTTCTGTCCAGCGTGTCAGTCGATGTACTGCGCTAACCATCTGAAACCTTCGCCGTAGCCTTGTTTTCTCAACACGCTGCACATAAAGACCTCCAGCGGTCGAACGTTCAGCTCCTTCAAAGACACGTTTCCCTGTTGGTATGAAAAAAAAACCCATCCATGATAATCACAGGCATTAAGAACAGTCTTAGAAAAACAAGGTAAATTCATTTGTTTTGTTGTTCACTGATGACATTTGGGTTTAAGATCCAAATATGAATATGAGACAAACGTTCAGAACGGCAGCTTTTATTTCCTGGTATTTACATCTAGATGTGAACAACTCAGGACACACCACACTTTGTTAGACCACACCCATTTTATATGAACATGTGACTGACAGGTGTACCTTGTTGCCCAGGTGTAGCCTATTAGGTTAATTGTTCAAACACTCAACAGCTCTGCATGACTATTCTACTTAAGCCTTGGCTTTTACTGTTTATTGGAGAAAGGAAAGACATTTTGAACTTGAGGAAAAAAAGGAAAGTCAATCAGAGCCTCTGGACAAACACTGAACTGAAAAAGAAAGGAACTGCTGGTGTGCTGAGCAACAGGCGTCAAACGGGTGTGCAGTTGATGACAGAAATATTGTGAGAGCTGAAAAAACTGAAAAACATCAGTAAGTGACATCACCAAGGGATCAAAATCAACTGCTCCAAGAAGACTCCGAGAGCAGAAACACAGAGGCCGTACTGCAAGATGCAAACCACTCAACAGCAGTAAAAACTGGAAGACCAGACTGGAAAGTACAAGAATGAGCTGCAAAAGTTCAGCAACACAATCTTATGGACTGATGAGACCAGGATTAATCTCTACCAAAGACATGGGAAGGCCAAATTGTGGAGAAAGAAAGGAACTGCTTATGATCTGAAGCAAACAAACTCATCTGTGAAGCAAGGCAGTTATCACAAGGAAGGGGTATGTCGCCTAAAACTGCTGTGGTGCAACACAAACGATGATGTGTCCTGAGTTGTTTAATACATCTAAATGTTAATACCAGGAAATAAAAGCAAACATTGTGAACTTTTGTGTCTTAATCATCTTAAACAGAAAAATGTCTTCCGTGGACAGAAATACTTTTGGAGGGGATTGTAGATTAAATTTAGCCCACCTTCCCAGTAACTTGACCATCAAGAACAAAGGCTCCTCGTAGTGCTTCCTCACTGATGGCCTCAGGGCGGTCAATTTTATTACCCAGCACCAGCACGGGAGCATTACCTATGGTTTCATCTGATAATAGAGCCTGTGAAAAATCAGACAACACGAGCACCGTCGCCATGAGCCGTCTGTTTCCAGACATCAGTCAGCACTCTGACTGAAACATCACAGTGGAACGGTGATAGTTAAACTCACGTCTAGCTCCGTTTTTGACTCTGCCAGTCTGTCATGATCTGCACAGTCTACAAGAAAGACCACTCCATTGACAGCAGGCAGGTAGTTCTTCCAAACTCTCCGAGCTGCAGCCACAGAAATGTGTTATCAGAGTATGGTAGAAATTCCATTGCATAATTATTGTGTGTGTAGTTACACCACTGGTAATTAAATGTGTGTGTGAAATGGCAAAAACATATATACATAAGGAGGTTGCAAAGACAGTTACAATGTTTTATGATGCCAATGTGGAGCTTTATGAACCTTTGCTAAAGTTTAAAATAACGATGCTAGGGTGACATCTAGTGGCACCATATAAAATATACCTTTAAAGAATGACGACTGACTTTATTATTCACTCATGAATCTTCTACAGCTTAATCATTTTCAGGGCCAAGTAATAATTCTCATTCCTCTAAAACTGAGAACACATCACCTTGTACGTGTCCTCCCAGATCAAATGTGGTAAATGTCATCCCTCCGATTGTTAACTCCTCGGACGCTTTGTGGGGGGGAAAAATGGTTTTAATATTTCTGATATTGGTGCTTGTTATACACGGTAGTAAATAATTACTAGTTACGTTTTTATTTTCACTCATTATGTCCAGCCTAAAGTAAATCAACTACATAATTCTAGCACCAAAAAATGAATTGCTTGAAAAAATGATGATAATACATTGATTAACAAAGACCAAAACTTTACAAGTACATCACTGGCTACTGTATATACTGTTGGTGTATTTACTAGGATGCAGTGTGGGTACATGTTGGCCAAGTCGGTCATCCTTTAGCATGTGTAGCAGTGTTGTTTTGCCTGCATTGTCCAGGCCCAGGAAAACCAGCTTCCCACTCTTTTTGTACAGACCTGGAAAGTGTTGCAGATAGTACATTTTTATGAATTAGTTAATCAACATGGCTTTATCAGAAATCCTATCCTCAACAGTGCTCACCCAAGAAGTGCAAAACACTGCTAAACCCCCTGTAGATCCAGTCTAATAAGAACGACATGTCTTTGTTTTTCTGCCTGTAAAAGAAGGAGTTTGTGATCATGACAACTCGTACGGAGAAATACACAAAAGATCCATAAAAAATAAAATTCTTAAAAGATAAATTATAATTTCAGCTTATATTCATCTTAGAATAACTTAAGCAATCATAAATATTAGCTAAAACCTGAGAGACGTTCAATGACTTCAGATAATCACATAATAATAACATTGTAATAGGGCATCAGCTCGTATAAGATACTGAATACGACATGAATGAAAATGTACAGAATAAGATGATAATTTCCGTTCGGTTTACAATGGCACGAAACCTTATTGATGTACTTTTGTACCACAAGTCATAAATCAAACACTGTTTTATTATCATTCTTAAACCAAACGTACAGCAGCTCAAATATATATATATTTATCATTTAAGCCCTCATTTATAAACGTAATTGACTGCAGCGCAGCGGAACCTCATTGTACTGTTTTATTAATATTATGACTTATTTAACATGTTTATGTTATGATTTGTTTAAGCCTATATAACGTTTCTAGTTAGCATTAGCCTGTTAGCCGACGTTAAACCTCCGGTACTCTCTGGACTTTGGCCCGACACGCGTCACAGCAACAATGACACTCTTTGTTCAGCGCGTGTTATTGCCGAGTGTTGTGTATGAAGACTGTACTGTGACGTTGCGTGACGTTACAACACGTAAATATGTCGCTTACTTACCTGACACCAGCGGACAGAGATGACAGCTCGATGTCTTCGGTCTCCTAGTGACAGTTTACGCGCAGGTGTTCTTCTTCTTGCCGTTTGCTGTACTTATTTGGAATCTTTATCTGGTTGTCACATTAACGCCCTCTGTTGGCAAATAGTGTTAAAAGCAAAATCCCATCTTTGAGCGTCTGCGTAATTCAGTCCTAAACGTGCAAAAGCCTTAAAACAAACGTTTTATAGACTGTAAGAGTATATGGTTTGAGAAATGATTAATTATATATTTATATGTATTCATATTTAATGCATTTAATATTAATAGTAAAATAAAACATTGTTGCTGTGGCATTTTCAGGTATCAAACTTGGAACTATTGAAAACCTTGGGCATTTCAAAAATGCATTACTTCAGTGGCCTTCAATCTGACTCGTAACCATGGAAATCTACTCGGTCCAGCCATTACTGTTGGTGACTTGGCCTTGGACAAATAGTTTAAAGTTGTGGAAAGTGTAAGGGCTTGTCTCTGACTTAACTGGGGACACTAGGACATATGAATGTGCCTTTATATAAACTGATATCAGTGTGTGTATCTGTAGTTTATGACAATAATCAGCACAAACAATATTTTGTGGAGTTTATTAAGGTTTTATTATGTTCCAGATGTAATGACTCACAACATCAAGTAACTCAAAGTTCTTTAAATAAGTCTGGACTTTACAAATGACAAGCAGTTACTTTTTGTACAATAAGCAGAAAAAATGATGCAGAAAGACAAAGAAGTAATTGATCTGTATCTGGCCTGGTATTTCATTCCTACTTGTCAGGGTAGAACCACTTATCAACTGAAAAAAGAGCATGTGAGCCATTAATAAAAAAATATATAATGTACTGTAAAAACAAGCAATAGTAGCACAAACTCACCTGTACTTGGAATAGGCTCTTCTGGTCCAAATGCACTTGTCTGGAAGCGTTGTTAAAATTAAGATTTAATAATAAGAATAATAATAATAATACAATTACTCTTAATATCAATATGAAAATACCATGAACTTACAGAGTTGACTGCAGCCTGTCCATCTGCAGCACAGCAGCAGAATGGACTGTCTGAGACACTTGTGTTCATGCTGTCACAAACACAGACAAATTTAACATTAGATATCATACTTTACATCTAACATGCATTGCAGTGCATTATTTGCAACATGTAGTGGCAAAAGCTTGCTTTATTTTCACTTCTACTTCCTTTCGTTAGCATCGCTGTTCTTACCAATTCAACTCGCCACCATTGGTTTTCTTCATGATCAGTGCCTTCCAGAACTCATGAGTGCTCTTCACTGTTGCAATGGCAAAGTCCTGGAAAGTAAAATGTACCATAAGTATGTACATATTAGATTAATAACTTTTTATTATTATGTTAAATTTTAATTTAGATGAAGAATAAATTACCCTGTCCTTAAACTCTGCATTGAAAGCAAACTGGTTTTCAGGTTTTCCATCGGGGACTTTATATCTTTTAAACCAGTCCACAGTGGCCTCCAGGTAACCAGGCTTTAGTCGTCTGACGTCCTCGATATCTGCAACCAGTCAGCAACAATGCAGACAAGTCTGAATACAGGATAAACTGACAGCAGCAAAAGCCTTGCAGTGGAGTTATGTTCTCACTGTGGAAGTCAGCAGCTTCAGGGTCTTCAGTATTGATCACTATCACCTTCCAGTCTGTTTCTCCCTCATCGATCAAAGCCAGAGTTCCCAAAACCTTCACTTTGATTATCTCTCCCCTGGAGCACACCTACCAATCACAAACACTGTTTTATACCTGAAATCACATTTTTTTCCTTTATCACAAACTTTTCTTTTTTTGGAAGACCTTATTGCCAATGTCACAAATGTCAATCGGATCGTTGTCTCCACAGCATCCCGTGTCACTGTCCTTGTGGTTGGGGTCTTCCCATGTCTGAGAAAACAAACAAAGGGAGATTTTATCTATCCATCTATCTATCTGTCTATCTAGCTATATATATATACTGTATATATATATATATATACATATATATATATATGTGTGTATATATATTATTTCTGTGACAATGTATTATGGCGGTTTGAGCAACACCTACCTGAGGAATTGCTCCATAGTTCCAGATATAACCTTTGTGAGGTATATATATATATATATATATATGTGTGTATATATATTATTTCTGTGACAATGTATTATGGCGGTTTGAGCAACACCTACCTGAGGAATTGCTCCATAGTTCCAGATATAACCTTTGTGAGGGAAAACATTAGCTACGTAGCGAAGATTCCCCTTTTTCATATCTTGCTTCAGTGGATTCAGTGGTTCTTTGGTGGCAATCTAAGAAACCCAGATTTAAAACAGCATATTCATTAGTGAAGGGAAGGTCTGTGTAAAAACTGCAGAGGTTAACTGTTTTTTATCATGAGGCTAAAAGCTAGAAATATGCAGCAAAGTGAAAGAAATTTGAACAACTGTACCTCCATCTTTGCATTAGTCCATCTGGGCACCTCCACCACAGCATGAAAAATGTTCTACAAAGGGATCAGAGTTGTTTAATTTGATTTTGATTTTTAATTTTTAGTCTGTACAAAGATAGGCTCATTCTACAAAAACCTTAGTTGTATTGATGTGATCCTTAAACCCAAAAGTATTCACTGTACTTTATGTACCACAGATTAACAGAAACACAACACTCACCTCGGCTTCATTAGCATAGATGGGAATGTCGTGGAACGGTGAGATGTATTTACCCTCAGCGTTTTCTGTGACAGGAATTTACATTTCAGCACTGATTTATTGGAAACATCACAACAAAAACATTTGCTTAAAGTTGTTTTATACCTTCAAATGAGCATATACTTACTGAAAAACACTCTGTATTCCTGGGTGTTGGGTCTGCCTCTCTCCTCGATGGTGAAGCTCATCTCTCAAAATCAAAATTCTCCCTCTGAAGTGTGTGAGTGTGAGTGTGTGTGTAAAACTAATCAGCTCCTGACTGACAGGCGGTCAGCCAGGCAGAGGAGCAGACATGCGCACTGTTTAAGCCTGCATGTGACAGCAGAGCTGCTGAACAGAATACAGGGAGCAGATGACAAGGACCATGCTGTTGGTTCTGACATCCTGACCAAACACAACTAATCAAACCTCAGGGAGAAGCAGGATTTAAAAAACCAAATTAGAACCAGGAGCTTATTCTCCTCTAACCAGAACTGGAGTTTCAGGCCTCTCTGCGTTTGAAGTGATTGGTGTTCCACTCGTCCACTTTGTTGAAAATGCGAGGCCTGGAGTGTTCTTCCAGACAAAAACAGATGGAGCTGACTGGTGTTAGCCTTAAGCCAATTAACAGAGGATTAGGTAGAGTGACCATGCCGTGACTTTTGCCTATGTAACTATTTGATAACATACTTATGGGTCACTTTAAATATTTGTTGAACTCCTAAAAAATAAGACATTTCTTAATTAAAGGTCTTGTGAATCTTTAGTTATAGCTTTGGTTTTGAAGCTTCTGCATGTGTCCTGTATTGACTTTACATGAATCCCTTATTTATTTCACCTGTACTTTTTTTTTTTTTGTCTTGGGGGGAGGGGTACAGGGGGATTAAACGTTTCATGTAAAACTAAGCTATATAAATAAAATTGACTTGGCTTTACATGTTGCACTGAAACATATTTGACCTAAATTCAGTAGCTATGTGAATTAATTTACAGGCAAAATGATGAAAGCAGAAAACATAAGACTTGTTGTTTATCAGTAGTTTCCTGTTTAAAGCAACTGCAATATTCAGAAAAATGCCTTTGGTGTCGAAACCAATAAAATGTAAACATTTCAAAAATACAGTATTTCACATTACTGCAAAAGCAGATTGTCCTCTGAGAGTTGTGCATATTGAACTATTATAATGTACTGCTCTTTATCTTTTTTTTATTGGTTATCAATATTTTTCTCGGTAATGTTTTGCCTTTTTTATGTCAACAACTTCCTCTGATGATAGATGATAGATGGTGAGACCACTTGTATGTTGTTTCAGAATTTAAAACAATTGTCAAATAACGGTTGACTAAATATTATATAAATACGTTCAGCAAAAACTTTTTCATTCTTTGTCTACCACTGAAACTGGAAAAAAATGTAAATAATAATATGCACCCAGCAAAAAAGATAGTTGAAGAAATAAAGCAATGTCCTGAGTAAGAAAAATACTTTAACTAAACATTTCTAAATAAGTAATAAATATTTATATTTATAATCTTTATATATGTATGTACCTTTATGCAGTACAAAATATATATAGTGGACCAAATTTAGAGGAGCAGCAGTAAAGTTAAAAACAAAGGAGACCATTGTTCTCAAAAACCTTTGTTTTAAAACGTGAACACTGTGAAAGGCACGTAGTATGCAGTCTGTGTGATGTGTCTTTCAAACCATCTTTCAGGAATCGGTTGTGAACAACACTTCAAATTTTTGGACGGACTGCAGGGCAGACTGGGTGTTTGAGTCCAAGGGATTGGTCTTCACGTTGATCCACTTCAGTGCTGGCATGGCAGAGAGTTTTTCCACTGGGATTTCTGCAAGTAATGCAAAAAACATCCTACACACAAAAAATTCAAACCACCAACTTATTAAATTATATCATGACTATTACCAGTGATGCTGTTTCCCTCCAGGTTGATCCTCTCTAGCGTGGCTATCTCCGTTAGCTTTTCTGGGAAGATGGTGAACTTGTTATTGGCCAAACTAATGCTGGTCAAGTGCTTTAATTCTTCCACCACATCTGGCACTTTGGTGAGAACATTTCCTTGCAAGTCCAATTCTGAAAGATGTTTCCATATATATGTAATTAAATATTGTGTATGGGCTTGACATTTACAAATATAAAATCTGGTTGTTCATTAGTTTAACGGCTGTATTTGTGATACATCACCTTTCATCTGAGGGAAGTTTGAGAAGAATTTGCTGGAAATTACTTTCAACTCATTATTAGCCAATATAACAATATGTATGTTGTCTAAGACACTCATCAAGATCTTGAACACACCATCTGGGAATGACACCAACTTGCAGTTTGACAAATCTGTAGGAAAAAAATATATAACATCAACATTTTCACCCTAATGTTTGTTTGATTGTTTTTATTTTAGTTAACTATATTTATTCTAAACCTGAAGGGATTTTAGCTTTATTTAGTCAAATGTACATAGTTACAGTTAGTCTCTGTCGCCGTCTTGTGGTTAAATGTGAAATAGCAGCAACGGAAATCCTGAATCAAAGTTTTTCCTTCAAATAAATTGCATAGAATGACAACAGTAGAAAATACATTTGTACAAAAGAAGTCTCACCTAAAGTATCTTTGCCTTCCTCTACAATTTCATTCGTTATACGGGCCACCCTTGCGACTGCCTCTGCCATTTTTGAGCTGTTATTCTTCCTGCGGATAAAAAATAATTGTACTTGTAGCACATATAGTGTGTTCGGGTTTTTCTGAGTATGTAAAAATATGTTTTTAAAAAATCTAATAAAATTAAACCTATGTTATTATACGCATGTTATATGATATCTATGGGCACAACAGAAGGCAGATAATCTCCGACGAGTTACTATAGTTTCACAAAACACAAATAAAAGTTAAAAGGCTTTGTGTCAAATGTTAAGTCCAACCATTGCAGTTGTACGTTTAACATGAATTTAGAACTGTTTCATTGAACCCACGCTTACCCACACTTGAAGCTCCAGGTAGCGGATTCCAGCTAGTGTTAGCTACATCCGCCCAATCTATTTTAGTAAATTAGTTATTTTTAACCTACAGGAATAAAAATGTATTAAAATGTTCCCGTATTAATTTAAAAGAAAACCCCTGCCCTGTGTTGATACCTGATTTTTCTGTTGTTTGGCAGGGAACAACCACTGTCAAAGTGTATTATGGATAAACATTTCTCATTGTGTAAAAATGACAGTGGGGGTTGTTGCTAGGTTGCTAACTAAACAGCTGTCGGATAAACGTTGCGAGTGTCAGCGCCGCGCTAGAAAAACGCATATGATCGAGTTAGTTGTAAATTGTAATTAGAACTTATCATACTCCTCCTACTGCTACTACTACTACTACTACAATTAATAATAATAATAATAATAATAATAATAATAATAATAATAATAATAATAATAATAATAATAATAATTATTATTATTATTATTATTATTATTATTATTATTATTATTATTATTATTATTATTGTTATTATTATTATTATAATATAGCAATACTTTTTTCCTTGTTATTGTTATGTACAAGCTTAAGCGCTGTTAAAACATGTTTAAATACATTTTTACATGAACCCTATGTTTAAAGTTAAAGTTTTCATGTAATACATCATATACTAGAATAAAGTATTCGGTGCTTGTGTCATTTAATTATAAATAATAATAATTATACATAAATGAATTATAAATAAATGAAAACTAAATGCATTTGTAATATTGACTTGAATTTCTGCACCAGAGGCAACATAATGTTTGCCATAATTTAATCATCTTTACTTAAAAAACAAATCAAAGAAACTGTCAGATTAGGTAAATATGCCAAAACTAATACTGGATTAATACAATTCAAATCCTGTCTCCCAACGTCATTTGAATGATATCTTACCTTTTACTCACGGTCCTCTACTCCTAGTCTAACCACAGTCACAGTCATGACTGGAAAATTCCTGGTTACTGGTGTGTTTTCAGTAGCATTTCAATACAAAGAGCTTTAGAAAAATAGAACTGTCAAACAGAGTATAGCTTTGTTATGAATTAGCAACCACTGTTTAGTATGTGCTGGATTTCCCTCTGCATACAGAGCACTATTTTAAATGTATTAGTGTTACATTTTAGATTATTTGTGGTATTATTACATAAACCAATAACTACAGAACAGCTAAGGCCAAAATTATTCAACCTGTCCAGAAAATTATATTGTTTTTGTTTTCAACAAAGATTTTTGAACAGTATGTAAATGTTTCACATATCCAGCTTTATTTCAGAAAAATACATTTTCCCACTATATACATAAAAAATGTTAAAAAAAAAGAGGAAAAAAAAAAACACTTCAAAGTGATAATTATCTAGGTAAAATGGAAATGATGTTCCAAAAAGTCATTTGCACCCTAGTTTCCAGTATTGTTTAGGCCCTGGATATTCAATAGTTTTTTTAATAAAACTTAACGTATTGAGTTAACTACAATTTCAGACAATTTAAATCAGGACACTAATGTCTGAGACTTATTTTTGTTCTATTTGATCTATTTGAATACTTGAGATGTGCTAAGATTAATCTACAGCCTACAGTTAATTTCTTGCAGGGCCCCATTCACTGTCCTGACACTTTTGGTATTAACTCGTTGGTGAAATATTCCCATTTTAGTTGAGTAGTTGAATGTACTTCTAAAATTGCAATGTTATTTTCACAAATGCTGGGTTTAACATTTCATTTATATTTAGGAAAATGTTTAATGGGAAGACTTGGCGTTCAAGCTTCATACTGTAAATAATAAAAATTCACATTTTAACTTGCAAAAGCACATAAATACATGTTTCTTTTTAATATTTACAATAAATATACATCAATATACAGGTAAACAAGAGGTAATATACAATATGTCAGTGCTGAAATATTCATTTATGTTGCCATTTTATCTTTATGTTAATTTCATAATTTAAAATAATACATTTTTACATTAGCTTGTACCAAATGTTCACAGCTGGAGGCCTTTACAGCATCAAATTTAATTTTCATCACATATTAACCTGGCATTGTTCTTTCTACACAACACAGCTCACATTGCAAATTTCAAGTCATTGCTTCACACGTTTCATGATGAGCCGCAGTCTCCTGTGTACAGCCACACGACATCAAAGAGCTTTTCCTTCCCAGTTAAGTGTTTTTCTTTGCTTTTGCAAATTTTGGTAAATTGTATTTCTTCTGTACTGTCTTTTTTTTTGTTGTCCTTGTCATGAAGGCTGTTGCAGGGCTCACTGGCAGCCGCACTCGTCCACAATCATGTCTTCGTGATGTCGAAGGAGCATCTCGCCGTTCTCGTAGTACAGCATGCTTAGCGGGCTCATTTTGGTTGGGGTACAGCAGGGTGCCGACACTCGGTCAGGATGGTAATGCCTCAGTAAGCTCTGGAAAGATAGATGCCGAACTTATTTACACGGTAATGCCTCAGTAAGCTCTGGAAAGAGAGATGCCGAACAATTTACACAAAATACATGACATTTTAAACAGTTTAAATAGTTCCAATATGTCTTGGTAAATCACTACTCACCTGCATGTAGGCATGGTTTGTTGGATTCAGGTCTTCTCCCAGAGGACTGGGGCAGGAGCCTTCACAACGGTAGGCATTATATCTCTTGGGAAAGATGATCCAGGAGCCCCAGCCAATCTGGTTGAAGTCGATGTGCAGATCCACTCTGCGACAGAGAGATTTTTCAGTCCCTCTTTTGGATGTCTGAGGGCTTCTCACTGTCTGTTCTCTGTGGCCCCGTTTGCTCCTGCGCCTTTTCGGCCAGCGGGCCTTTTTGATTTCAGCAGCAGACAAGAACTTGGATTGTTCAGCTGTATGAAGTAAGCTTGCTTTGGCCTTGGAGTTTTCATCGGAGCCAGTGTGTGAAAAGACGACCAGAAAGGCTCGGCCACCAACATCCTGCTCTTTTCTGGGACCCACCGCATAGATGGGTTGGTCAGGGAGCGACAGGCCGCTCTTTGTTTTTACCTCCTTCCTTTTTCTTGACACTCTCTTTTGACGATTTCTTGTGGTGGACTTCTGTTTGAGCCAGTCCAAGAGAAGACGGGTCATGTTGAACACTTTCCAGCTCTGTGATGAAGTGACCAGTGATGATTCTGTGAGCAGCCCCACCAGCTGCTGTTCTTGGCAGCTCTTGTACACATGGCATGCATGACCTTGTTGGTGATAGACCTTCACAGAGATGTTGCGAGAATTCTGTGTCCGTGGAAGACTGACTCTCAGCTCTGCGGCCTGGATCTGTTTCTCAGCCAGCAGGGTATGGAGGTCAAAGGTTGCAACCCAGCTCCTGTGTCTGTATGTTAAACCTGTGAAGTGAAGAGAAATTAGCATTGTGCCTTCACACTTTATCACATTTCTTATCGATGTTGACAGTTTCAACATAATTAGGATTAAAGATTTCATGTAATCTGCTGATAAGATAATTTACAGGTTGAAAAGAACACACATTAAAAATGCAGAATGCTAGTATGGAACAAATGTAACCTTTTAAAATGTGTTAAGAAGATATATTTATTTTGCTGGTGTGTCTCCATGAAGTATAAATATACTGTATGTTGTTCTGATTTAATACACTGAGAGTTGACACACAGTAAAATAATAAAAACATTTGCGTCTCTTATTATGACACCCCTTGTATATTTAGAATATATATTATAATTATCTATTAATTCTGATTTTATAGTTAAATGAATACTTTTGAGGACAGTAGTGATATATTTAATGCTCAGTATTCTATGATACTCATGAAAAATAATTCCCCCAAATCCTCCAAAATATAGTGCAACAATATAATAAAAAATTGAATAATAATTATAGGTGATGTCAGTTTTATTACTTATGTTGTAATTATGAATGCTCTTGCACAGAGATGATTTGTATTTGTCTTTTCTTCGGACAGGTCACGAGTACAACGTACTTAAGTAGAAGTATCACCGTTTTTCACCGCGATTAATGCGTATATCGATGGGTATTTGAGCAAATCAAAGCTTAGGACCAGTAAATAGTCATTGTTCCAGTCAGTGTAAACCGACAGGTGCTGCACCCATCAGTAAGGAGGGTGTGGACACTCTATTGTGATTCAGAGAACAGGTGTGGTTCAAATTAATCTACGGGATTAAAGAATTGAGCATTGCAACTGGCCCATTCCTTGGAGTGTTGATCAAGACGTGCGAACCATCCTGGGTCATTAATCCACTCAAAGTGAACCCGGAGCCCAGACCTATCACTGAATACACCCATGCTCTGGGTGTTCCGGCTACTGCATATCCTCAGCCAGTCAGACACATAGGTAATAACTCTAACACCGTGCCACCGTTAAATCCGCAGCTCTAATCTAATCAAGCCAAGTGTGAAAAAAGAACTAAGGGAAGTTGTTGATTTTCCCTAACAACAGATTTGTATAGGGGGGATGTCTGGCGAGATAGCTAATCAACATCACCTATTTAAGGAAAAGGAGGTTTGCTTTGAGAATTAGACCGAAAAGCAGCCTTTTCACACGCTGATCCCCGTGTGGTTATTCAGGGATGTGGATTGGAGCCCTCTGAGGTCGTCTGGCGCACAGCTTTGACAGGACAACTTAAAAAACCTAACATCTAAAGAGGATGGTGTTTGTCTGAGCTGAGTCAAAACTCCTCTAAGAATAAGCTGAATCAAACCTCCCATCACCAGGGAGCCTCGTGAATTCCCTTGTATGACCTCTGGCATTTTTAGAGAGACATAAAATAAAATTTAAAAAACAGCTCTTACTTTTGGCCATCAAGCTCTTCACTGTGTCCGCATTCCTCGGCTCTGTCGTATCCATAGGGCTGGAAAAGTTGGACCTGAAGTTCCTGTAGAGATGGACCATGTAGGTGGGCAGGTGATGGACGCTGGTTCTGTCCATCACCGTGAGACGATGCTGCGGCCGCACATAGACTCCATCCCTGGATCTGTGGATGCCCTGCGCCAGCAGCACCAGCAGAGATGCGTGCAGCGCAGCGGACACTGCTCCCAATGATGGCATGTTTGAGGCCGGTGACAAATGACAAATTCCTCTGCTGGGAGATTAGGGGTGTCTTATATACCCTCAGCCTCCCCCTTTCATGTTTAACAAGTAGCTGAGAACATTAAAGGAAATTGACATGCGTCCTCAAGACTTGTTACCTGACAGCTCATCATCCATTCACTTGCTAATGAGGCGCCCGGGTACGTGTTTACCAGGAGCGCAACTTTTTGTTTGCGCCACGATCTGCGGGGCCTCTGCAGCCTGACTCCCCATACCCAGGACTAATTGTTTCAGCTATTTGCCTTACACTAATTGTTAGCCTTTCCCAATGTAACTCACTCAATAGCGTCTGAAATGAACTATGGTCTTAATAAAACATCGCTAACATTTACATAAATACACCTGAATTTGTCTGATCACAATTGAATTGATCTTGTTCAGTCCTTGTTCAATTTATACAATGAATGACTTCGTCTAATTCAATGTCATTCATTGTATAAATGTAACAATTTATTATTATTATTATTATTATTATTAACCGCTTTGGTTGTGTGTTAATTCCTATAAACTGCCAGCTTTAATGGACCAAACAGTCAAAGTGTTTACCATGGCATACCAACTATACATTTGTTATAGCTTAAATGTTGTAAATATTTTAAAGTTGTAGTTGATTTTTTAAATAGAACCAGAATAAAAACTGATTATATTTCAGTTCATGGTAAATATCTATTTATATTACTGGTAAATGTTACAGCATCATTTAAAACAGTATGCACACACACATCCTTGACCCCACAGAAGTCCAGCCCCATTTGTCATTTTCAGATGTATCACAATGTAATGTTATAGTCAGTGTTTATTTATTTTGTTTTACACATCAGTCTACAATACACAAAGGAGTCCGTGTTCACTATAGTCCCAGGATAGAAGGGAATCATTTGAAATATGGATATTGACATCGGACTATTACACAGCATCAGAAGGACAATTAACCTAAATAAAGTTTAATTATGGGTGTGTTTATGCAAATATATATTATATATTTGTTTTTAACAAAATGTAGTATTATGAATCCCAATTTCCTATGCATGACCTAAACTTGCAATAAATTCAATTTCAATGAATTAATTGCCAAGTTATGTTCTTCATGAAAACAGGGTCTCAACAGGATGACTGCTCTTGGGCATTCAAGTATGACTGTTGTAGATCAGTCACTCCTAAAGTTATAATGATAATGATTTTAAAAACCGTAGTCATATAATGTTAACAAATATTATTTTGTAGAAGACTTCATATTGTAAACTATTTTATGAGTTAAAATTGTATTTTAACGGCATTAAGCTACAAAGATTCGGTTAATGGACAGAGATGCAGAGGCATAAGGAGATGACCACGTTCTGCGCATGCGCCTTCTGTCTTTATCCACAGCGAGACCCTTTTTCCTCGTAAATCTCTAGAGAAAAGGGGGAAAAATATCAATGCATGTTTTCTTTCTAATGCTCCAAACAGACTGTTGTGTCCCAGGGCACCAGCACTGACACCGACCAAAGTGCCGTCAGGAAACATTCAACCTTCGGGACCAAAGGTTTTTTTCGTCCGCCGTGTGCTGAAATGGTGAGTCGCTTTTAAAGTTTACGTTTGTCGCACGGTTGCACGGCTGCGGCAAACTTGTCCTTGTCGTCGTGTTGTAGTCAGGAAAACAGCACATCATGCACCGCTGCATCAACTGTGATCATTTCTTACACATTGCATCGCATTTAGTCCTGATTTGAGGACTGATCTGTGTGTACGATGGAGCTTTACATGTGCTTGGCACATCCCCCCTCCTGGCTGTCCATCCATGCCTGCCCTGTAGTCTGCTCTCCTGCATCAACTCATTCATTCATGCTAAGTAAAGTTTCAATATGCACCCATTAAAGGTTGTTTAAGAAGTGTCAGTTAGAACCCGGTTCAATCAGAAAACACAATGTTTATGTTCTGACATGTTCTGACTTGGTGGTCTCTTTGCTTCACTGTGACAGCCAACCACTGTTATTGTGTTTTGAGAAAAAAAAAGGAATTATTTTTGGAGACAACATTCAAACATTTAAACAATGTGGATTTTTAACAGGTACTGTAGTGATGTTGTTGTAGAAATGTTGATGAATTAGATATTTTTGTCATGTATATTATTTAAATGAAGTATTTTCTGTTAAATAACAGGGCACATTTATGCAGGCCAAGTCTCTGTACTAGTCCAGGGGTCTTTTCCTCTAATTAAAATCTGTAGACCCCAGTTCAAAGATGCAAACAACAACATTAACCCATCCTTCATTTGCACTGTATGTGGTGCCAGTGAGGCTGCAGGAGTAGACTGTGAAGTGGGACACATGGGTTTGTCGTTAGGTTCTTTGTGGTCTTCACCTAAATTGCCATTATATTGGAAAAGGGCAATTACACAAATTAAATATATAGATTGATTTTTACACATTTCCATATGGAAGGCTACTTTAAATTGGGGCTAGGCATGAGACAGACCCATATATCAAAATAATAACAGCATTATGACCCACATGAGTTGTGATGTGCTCCTTTAGCACATGATTACAGCCTCCCCTGAGCAATGGATGAAAACAACTTTCTAACAAGACATTGTGGTTTATGATAAAATCCCCTGACTGTCTGACTTAGTTCAGGTTGAGAAAGTCCCCTGGATAAATTCTATTTTATTCTATTTCAGCCGTGTGTAAAAAAGTGTAATTATAGATAAGTCTCATATTAGCAGTGGTCCACATTCTGAAAATGTGCCAAGACATGTTCTCTCATGCCATGTTCCAAATGCCTGCCAAGTGTAAAAAGCGTGTGGTGCCGTTGGACAAAGCACACAACGTCCTTTGATGTATTGTTGTCCAGGCTTTTGTTTGATTTATCCCGTCCAGCTGGGATCATTCTGCTCCTCACATATCACTTTACCTCACTCACATCCTGGGGCATGACAGAAACCACCACGTGACGACAGAGAGCACAGATCAAACCGTGAACATCACAATTAATCAACGGGGGCTGCATGAAACTCCTCAGTGAATGGAGGCCGCAGCAGAAAACGACTGAGCTGTTTTATTCAGCTTTGCCTTGAAAAGAGGAGATTAAAAAACAGAGAGGAATTTTTCTCTTCTGGGGCTGAACGTGAACATTCAGTTTTATCTTCAAAATGTAGAAATCAGTTTTGTTCAATGCAGTTCTATTTTGAAATGGCAGCTGAAACCTTGTGTGTCACATGGAACTAGTTTAATGTCCTATTTTCTCTGGGTCAGTATGAATATGCTTCCTATTTTTAGAAGAGTTCACACCGTGTGTAGAACTAGTCCTAGAAGTTACGCCAAGTCACTGTACAAACACCTGTTTGGAGTCCAAATAGTTGTCGTAACACCTGACTCCGGCTCCACTGTGCTTGTCTATTAATAATGCAAATACATCTGGAGCGGTTCCATACTGGAAGGTGAAAATAATTGACATCCCAAAACAACATCTACTCACTGTATTTGTCAAATAGGTTTCAAAGTGTTTGTATCCAGTCCAGACAGACTCTTAGTTCTGTCTTTTCCTTCCTGTTCCTGTGAGAAGACATTTAACACATGGAGGTGGAGACAGACACCGTGTCTGAGAAAGGATTATGATTAGACAGGTGATATTAGTCATATGCTCCCTTTTCCACTGAAGGGAATTTAGATAGAGAGGAAGTTCTGATGAAGTTGTCCCACATGGCCTTCTTATCATCCCTAGATTTAAGTGGAATCTGTGTTTTGTCATATTGCGTAACATTAAATGGAAGGAAATAAGTAATAAAAAAAAGTTTCATTTATGATTTATTTTGACCTCACACAAGCCCCAATCATAATCCGTTTGAATGATTGCTCACTCCCCGTACTGATTCATCCATGTTCTGAGGTTTGTGGTACATGGGAGGGTTGTGTTTCACTGTGTTGTAAGAACAAGAAGAGCACTGGCTTGTGCTGCTGCAGGAAGGAAGGAACAGGTGTGGCAGCAGAAGATTTTTTTTTCTTCCATATCTTAAAAAAAATCCCTCAGCATACTCATAAATAAGCTGCGTTTCAACCGTGTGTTGCAACAGAGATTACACAGAGTTTTGAAAGAAACTGCCGTTGATCTTCTTTTGTTTACTGATTATTTTTTTACCTTGTGGTTGGAGGTTTGTGTTTTTTTTTTTCCAGATTTAGCAGTTAGACTTTTTGTGGCTTGGTCACTGTTGAGGTGTAAAAGTCCCCGGATGCTGCTGGCTTTGTTCTAACTTTTAACAGCCCCTGGGTCGAAATAGGAGACTCAGTGATAAAAGTAGGTTTGACCCGAGTGTTGAAGCCAGAAGTGGTAGAACATACAGCCGTTTGCAGCTGAAGCTCAAGCTTAATTCTGAGTATTTGCCCAGCTGTAAGTCTGTTTACCTTCATCACACCATGTGTGAACTACTAATGAATGGCGTAATTAGAGCATCGTAGTGAATTAGGCTTACATGATGTCATCTGTGTGCAGTTGTTAGTGATCAGGAGTCTGTCTGCGTGATGTCACTGAGGGCTGTGTCTGACTGGAGTGAGCTCAGTGAGTAAAGGTTTGATGCATGTTTTATGAACAGTTAAGAGGTCTGCCATGCGTGGGAGCCATTGTGCTGCCAGAAGCCTCCCATAGTAATTGGACAGTGAAGTGGATGAGCAAGCCTCTCTGGTTCCGCCTCCACATCCTCAGTACACATCCCCGCATGCACAGTTACGCTTCACACTTCCACATGCACAACAAATCCCGGCGCACACACAGGCATCCTTTGCAACCCCTTTCAAAAAAACACACTCCACGAGGGAGCATGTGCTGTCACTCATTTGAACCTCAGTGTGGGAGCTGCTGATCCCTCTGCCCACCCCCATCCTCATTGCCTTTGCCCACTGGAGTGGCTGTCTGGGTTCTGTCCTCACTAAAGGGCACGTTCAATCGCTTTATCGGGACTTGTTGATGATGTGAGCCTGCCGTAGTGCCATCAGCGCGCAGAGACAGATTAGCTCACAGATCTTGGAGAGGACACGCCGGGGAGGATGTCCGACTGAGTCAAGTGCTGCTCTCATTCTGTTTATTTTCAGCCCACGATTTCTCTCTTTTCTCATTGCCTTCCCCAGAGACCCAAGCACCTCTCGGATGGTGGACTGCACAGCTGAATTCCAGGTATAGTTGTTGACTTTTTTGCTCTCTGTGGTGTGTGTGTGTGTGTGTGATGCATGCTGTATGCTGGAGGTTTCAGCTTCCTCATTATATCTGTGTTGATTTAGACATTTTAACAGACTAAAGATGTGGTTTTTATATAAGATGTTTAGCTTAAATGACTCAACATGATCGTCTTCTTCTCCTTTAACACCACTAATGTCTGAGATTGATGTTTCTGCATGGACTTTAAACCTCATGTTCATCAGCTGTTACATCAGAGGACCAGCCTGCATTTGAAAAAAAAGTCTTGCATCCCTGACCAACTTAGAAAAAAGGAAGCTGCAAAGGAAGTGTCTGCTCGTACAAGTAACTGCTTATCTAAAAAAAATCTGAACAGCTTGCTCTAAGAACTCCATCTTAAGAGTTTCTCCAAGCAATAAAAAAGTCCACTTGTCCTGTCGGTTTGACAGGATACAGTGGTCAAATCCTTGAGCTCAGAAAAGTAATGGCCACATCACTGCAGCCTTGAAATCATAGAGGGATAAAATTGCCATCTTGACATGAAATAACAGAAATTACAGACAGTTTTTTTAAAAATAGACAAGCACACCATTTTTAGCCGCTCAGCGTCAGACTGAAGCAAAAGCAAGAATGTAGGCAGGTTGTACATCTGATATATGACATATTCACTGCAGAGTTTGTGCCCTTGACTTGGCTTTTTCAAAGACAGCTTTTGTCCTTTAAACAGCTCATCTGGACTTTCTGCAAAGATCTATTCAATTCTCAGATATGGTCATGTTGCCTCTGAGCAAAGCATCACATGGCTTCTCCTTTTTTTTTTTTTTGATTCCGTTGCTCTTTGAACATGATTTTGCAGTGATTTGTTTCAGGCTCAAACACAAACACTTTTACCTCCAAGGTCAAATAAACTGTCACAGGATCTTTTAAGATTGTAGGATTTTATGAGGAGGAAGCGCTGAGCTCATTTCCCTGCACCGTTGAAGTTTTGCAATCTCCTGTGGAATCATGTCTGTATGTAGTCATGGATCTCATTGGTGAAATATGTGTGCAGCTGTAGGGAGGAAGTTGCAGAGAGTATAGCAGAGCATTTCCTGCCAAGGTGCGTTTATACTTCCTCTAACCGACAGTGTTACTGAGTTTCATTGAAGGGATTTGCTGTTCTTGTATCCTGTGATGAGTGAGACATTAGAGGAGACACTGGAGGATGTTGTGTCATGGTATGAGTGCGACTTAATCTGGTTTACTTGAACAGTTACTGCTGTACGTGAGTTCTGATGAAATAGCCTCAGTTTATACTAATTTTGTCTCCAGCTGTTGTGACGTAACATGTGTAGCACTTAAAGAATTGCCTGGGTGGAGATGAGGATGTCATAGAGAACCATGAGCAATTATGGCAGGAAATGAATCTGCATGCATTTCAATGATGGGTTTTGTCGCGGCTTATGTTGGAAGATCTTTTCAGGGCTGCACTGTGATTCCCATGTCTGGTGAACCCCTGCACCTCTTGTGAATGAGGAGCGCTCTGCATCCTTCCTCGGGGCCACCAACAGATGCATCCTGCAGCTGCATGCTTTTTCCTGCCGGCGCTCAGGCCTTTTTTTGTCTGGAGACGTTGCTACAGCAGAATTGAAACACCGTCTGAATTTAAATGGGCCAGTTCTGAATGGAGAGATGCCGGCCGACTGGCAGAAGACTCCGTTTCCATGGCTTTGTTGAGACTTTGCCATGAGTGAATTCAAACATTGGTGTCGGCGGCTAACACTGGCCAGCTGCCTGCTGCTGTGTTACACGCATTGTTTGTATTGATACGTTGTGCATTATCAGAGGGCATCTTGAGTTTATCTTGACGTTTTATTGGCCTCACATGTGGTGTAAACAGCCTCTCTAATGAGTCGCCTTGATTGGCCTTTGGAAAGGATGTTTATGACTGAGGGCTATTTCTATTCAAGCCTCCGCCCGACTGCCCACTCACTTCACCAGGTCTGCCCTAGCTGAAAGTTTAGCTGTGGTTTCCCAGTCATTCTGACAGGCTGTAATGTAAAACAGAGCAGTTGTATTTGTAATACTGTCACGGTGTAAGTGACTTTACCAGAGCGTTAACTGTGCCATTCAGGTGTCTGCAAAACTAAAGCTTCTGTGTGACAGTGTCCTATAGTCTCATTCAAGGTCAGGACATTCCTCACAGACAGTCGGACTACACGGCGTATTTTGTGTAATGTTCTTATGCAGACGAAAAATAATGGAAGAATCCATCATCAGAGCGTTTTGTAGCATTTCACCAAACCACAAAGGAACATGCACATTATCATGCATGACTGTGGTGGTGGGCAACTGAAACCTACTGATTAAATGCCTTGAAATGACAGAGAAGAAACACTTTTTTTGTCCAAGTTGCTTTTTTTTCATAGAGCGCAGACTGAAAACTCTGATTTTAGTCCCAACAGAAAAAGGAAAAAAAAAAACATACACCTTCCATAAAAACTTTTTTTTTTAACAAACAGCATTTATACTAGGTGACTTAACATTGTTTACAACGTATCAGTTCATCAGTCCCTGTGCTATAAGCTGGTTTCACCTTGACTTTGTGTGTTTGATTCCAACCTTTATGCAGCACATGATGCTTCATGTGATCTCAGGAAGTGATTTTTGCCTGTGAGTGTGGGGCTGACCTGTGTCACATGAAACAGCTGTGAGATTTAGCTGTTTGCTGCATTAGCTTTGCATTAGTTCTCACATTTAGGTATAGGTGGGAATTCTGGGTAAAATTGGTCACATTGTGTGAGTAGTTAACAGATTTTACATAGGAAAAAATAGGTCAAATGTATTTATTTACTGTGACTTTAATAATGCTGTAGTTAATTTAGGATGTTGTCATGTCGGTAAATGTGTACAGTCATCAGACATCAACCCATTTGAGCCTGTATATAAGCTGCAGAGCAGACAGGAGCCTCTGGTGGACCACAGGACAAACTACTTCAAACTGACCAGTGCTGTGTCAGACATCAAATGGTGTATTTTATTTAGTCTCACATTCAAACAAAAGATTATTTTTCCTAAGCAGCAGTCTGTCCTACTGTACAGTACGAGAGTCAACTGTTTGGTGTTTGTGCAAAGCCTGTCCCAGTGAAAAGGAGCTGAACTTTAGCCATCTGGCTGCCAGATGTACCACCGCTTCCTCTGGTCCCCTCCGTTGAGACTTGAGTCTGCTTTGCGAATCTACTCTCCAACATCAGACAGGAGATAAGACTTGGACGAGGAGGACGCGTTCTTAAAGCTCTCGGACATTTTTTTGCCCTGTGCCAAGCGGCAGGGCATTTGAGCTCCCATGAGGGGTGTTTCCCACTGAGTGGGGGTTGGCAAAGGGATTTTTTTTCTTATAAAACGGGAGATTTCTTTTTGGACTTGATGCCAAGTTCTCACACTCGTTTGGACCATGGCGGAAAACAAGCAGCAAAGAAAAGGGTCTACGAGCGCAGACCGCTCCTCATCGCACACGTAAGATGTCAGAGTTTGCCGGAATTGTGCAGTTTGGAGGCTTGAGTTGTTTTTCCGTGTGGTAGACAGAAAATGATGGCAACAGGGGGATGCTTCTGGTATGTGGTGAGGACTTAAATAGATTTGGGCAGCTGGAGATCAGTGTTTCTGAAAACATAGCTTCCATTTAAGGGAATTTAGTTGTTTTGCACTTAAAAAGTCTTCAGTCTTACTTTTTTAAAACTCTACTCTGACTTGATAGCGGTATATTTGATGAGAACATCACAAACGCATGCTTTTTAAGTCATTCAACCCACGCAGCTGCTGCTGTATGTTGTTGTCGTCTTACCCTTGGGAGAAGAATCGCTGCTGTATCTCAGGGTATGGATTGACCTGCCCACTCAGCTTCAGGCACAACAAAGAGAAGAGCAGCGGTGAATCACCCGACACCTCTCTCTCTCTCTCTCTCTCTCCCCCCCTCTACACAATAAGAGTCCACTCGGTTCAAAGCTGGAGCTCACAGAGGAGCTTTGAGATCCGGCGTACCCCCCATTGGCGTCACATGAAGTAGTCATTACAGAGCATTCGTTGCTTAGATGAAGGCAAAGAACTACCTTTAGAAATCACACATTGGACATGTTGTGATATTGCTGTATTACATTTACACTCACAGCCTTTTGTCCTGCATCAAAATATCTCTGGTCACATGTTTATGTTTAGATGGTGATGATTCCACAGGCCTTAGTGGAAGAAATGATTTGTAGATTTAGCCTCACAAGGAAAATTAGTTGAAAATTACTTTTTTCCCCCGCATGATTCGGCTGTAATTTTATGCGAGAATTGTGTATTGTGTGCTGTGATGCTACAGATCCTTAATCTGATGCATGTTATTAGTGATGTTGTCCCTGGCACTGAGTGCTAGCTTGTAGGAAGCCTCGTTTGTTTGTCTGCAGGGCTCTCAGCAAGGCTCAGTGTTTATTCAAGGAGGAGGAGGAGGGTTCGCTACAAGCTCGTGCCTGCATCGCGTTGGAGGAGGGAGCCAAGTGTTTCTGTGTCATGTTGGATGATTTAAAAACACAAATAGTGTCACACTCAAATATAACGTATAAATCAACAGGCGCCGTTAGGATTCTACAAATCCACAGTTAAATCGCGAAATAGCTTATATTTTTCTTTAAGTAACAGTAACAACAAGACCCACTGACTTTAACGTTGTTGTGTTGCGAGAGTGTCTGCTTCCTGTTTCTGAGACTGCTGCCATGTCATTCACAGCTGCTTGTGGAGCATGGGTACAACTGCCAGCGCCGCACCACAGCCAATTTCTATAACGTCTCCACTCGAGAGTGTCCACGGCAACGGGATGGCCAACAGCAGGCAGTCTCTTAGCATGAGCCCCTTTCAGACAGTCAACATCCACAACAACAAGGCCAAGTCCATTATCACCAACAAAGTCGCACCTGTTGTCATCACGTAAGTCCCTCCCTGAATCCGCGTTCTCACAATTGGGTGTTAATCTTCTTTGATCACGGCGGAGACATCCCCCATCTCCAGTCCTGCTGTTTGTCCCTGTTATCATCTCATTTGTCAAACCAGGCTTGGCAAACACTAGCTGATAATTGAATTGACCCCTCGTGCCCTCTGTTGACCCCTCCTTAGGTATAACTGCAGACAGGAATTCCAGATTCACGATGACATCCTCAAGACCAACTACAAACTGGGCCGGATATCGGACACCATGCCTGAGCACTACCTGGTGCAGGTGAGGCTAACTTCCCTTTTAGCTCCAGCACGTCACCTGTCTTAATAAACGCTCTCTTTTCACACTGCCGTGGCAAAAGTGCAGAATGTCGTAGGAACAATTGTCATGCGTTGTTTTATGATGTGGTGCCGGCATGGAAACAGGAATCGTTGTCACCCGGCCATCAGGGCTTTGATGTGTTCTCTCACCTCCTCTCTCTCCTCCGGGCCGCTCACTATTGCAGGGTTTTGTCAATTCTAACCCACTGTTTCTGTTTACATGTATAGATAGGCCAGAAGTTTTCACTACAGGAAGTAATTGCCAAGATAAAAGGAGATTAATTGGATAGCAAATCAGGGACGACTTTTAGGCCGGCTATTTCCTTCATGCTAAAAAAGAGGGTTTGTTTTAAAAAGCAAATTATTATTTGATTTCATTACCGGTAGTTATTTGCTATTAAACTGTTGTGTATTATTAATGTAAAAACCGATTTTTTTTTTTTTGGGATTTGAACTTTGATGTCCATGTTGACCATGGCACAGCAGCAAAGGAAAAACTAGAACTACACCCAGCAATAGTTGAAACAAATGTAAGGATTCAATTTATAATTAACCAGTAAACAGTTTATATTCATTTGTAAGCATCTAATGATTTAAAGTTTGTTTAGTATGACATTTTCTGATGTTAGTGTCATACAGGGGTGTGGAATTTCAGGAAATGACAGGAAATGATGTTGGCCCTAAATAAAGTCCCTATGAATACATGAAATACAAACTTAATTAATGGTACTCAACGAGTGTTAAGCAAAACTCTTTTGTCATATATATATATATATATATAAAGTCCCTATGATGTATATATATATATATATATATATATATATATATATATATATATATATATATACACACACACAGTATATCTGACATTCTATTGTTGCATCACAGGGTGAAGTTGTTCGGCTGTGTTTCATGTGGAGGGTGGTGCTGTAAGAATGTGTTGATTTTCAGGGTCAGTACTTCATGGTCCAGGATGTGTACAGCAAAGCAGATGTCCTAAATACCACGGGCAGCTACGGAGCACCAAACTTCCGCCAAGTCAAGGGGTCTTACCCTCTGTATGGCATGGGTCAGCCCAGTCTGAATGGCTTCAAACAAGTTCTTCACAGGCTGCAAGCACAAGGACATGAGGTTCTTTTTTTCATTTTCCTTTTATTTAAAAAGACACATTTAAACAAGTATTATGGGAAATGTAACCTCAGCTGATATTGATGGTTAGAACATGTTGGTGCCTAAGTGCTCAGCCTGGGCTCTTTGTAGCCTTGTTGCCAGTAAATATTTGGGGAGTCAAGTGCTTAGTGGAGGCTGTGGCTCAGCCGTAGAACTGAGCAAACAGAAAGTTGTGGTCATGTGTAACAGTGGAAAACAAATTTCTCTGCTCACAGCAGCTACAAACGAACAGTAATTGAATGAAATGGACAAAATTATACTCCTCCAGCTCCTTACTCATGTGCTGTATGTCATATGACAAAAGATCGTTTCCAGTTGTTCATGAAAGTGAGGCGGTTGGTGGAGGGGAACAATCCTTTATGTGCATCTGAAACCTATCATTTGATGCCTGTTTTGTTGTGTTTTTTTTCTTTCTTTCGCAAAACAGGAGATTATATTGTTCTGTGTAAGAGAGGAGCCCGTGGTTTTTCTGCACAAAGAGGACGACTATGTGCCGTACACCCCCAGGAGGAAGGAAAACCTCCATGAGAACCTTCATGACCTGGAAAAGGACGTGATGGTGGAGGGCCTGGAGCTCACCATCAGGAAGGAGGTGACAAAACACACTCAGGCTACGTCCATAACACTAAGTTGTTGTTTCAAAACAAACACTCATTCTCAACACTTTGATTCTCTGTGTCAGAAGAAGTCTGCTCTCAGGCTGATAAACAGTATATACTGTACATCCACTACATTATACTTTATGGGACAAGAAACTATGTTTTCAGGGCAGTTGCCTGTTTGTGTACACAAAAAGTAGATTCTCTTATGGAGTTGGATGCTGAGTTACCATGTCCCCCCCAGCCCCTCCCGTGTGGGGCCTTTCTGTAGCTAGCATTTGACTGTCATCTTTGTATTCCACACAGCTCCATGACTTTGCCCAGCTCAACGAAAACATCTTCTACATCTACAACGACATCGAGTATTTCAAGGACGAGCCGCAGAAGATCTCCATCACGTGTGAGGAGGACATCCACGTGACGGAGGAGGTCTACAAGAGGCCCATGTTCACCATGCCGGGCTACAGGTTGTTTACACAGTTCCTTTATTACCTCCTCAGCGCTGGTGTCGTTTCAGACACAGACACATGGGTAGCCCAAAGCTGCAGAAATCGGCGGGCAGGCAGCGGGTTATAAATAGAGGTGCCTGTTTGTGCAGAGGCTGGTTGCACTGATTTTTTTGGAAACCAAGATTGCAGCATCCTGTTTGCTAGCTAATCAGCAGTTCTGTTTGCTAAGATGGCATGTTCTGCTCACTACATTTCTGGCTAGATAATATATCCCAATCTGAACGGACTTTAAAGATGTGTCTGTGTTTATTTGTGAGTATTAGAGTGGAATTAATCAGTAGGATTATATCAGGGGTCGCCAATAATAAACATATATTTTTTAGAATTTTACTGGACAGACATTTTGGGGGCTGGACACAATAAATGAAATAATAAATACAATTTTTCCCATATTTGGAGAAGCTTCTCCTGGAGGCTCATAAAATGATGATGGAGCTCAGCTGCGGTGTCCGACTTTGTGTGACCTACATTAAGGATGTATTGACACAACACAGAAACGTGTTCAGCTCTTAGTGACATTCTCCTCTGTTGCAGGTACTACAGATTACCATTACCGATGGAGGGAGCACCTTTGGAAGAAGACTTTGACTCTTTCGTCAACATACTCAGGGTGAGCCGGTGTAAAAATGTCCATCATGCTCAGGTCCACCAATTAAAATTGTCCTTATTTGGCTGTCCCACAGCTGGGGTTGGGCTGCGATGCACCATTAAACTATGAATGGCTGACATTTTTATGGGGATCTGGATTTTCTCACAAAGACGGAGAGATGTTTGTGTGTGTGTATGTGTGTGTGTGTTTGTTACTTTTTAATTCTGCCCTGAAAGACGGAGAGATGTTTGTGTGTGTGTGTGTTTGTTACTTTTTAACTATCAATCACTATATAATGTGGTTGAAAATCCTCAGTTTGTGACCACTCTCGGGTCCCCTCCTTGTCTGTCTGTTCTCTGTCTTTCCCTTCACTCAGACAGGATGTAGTATTTGTCTAGTTTTGCCCTTTTTTGGTCTGGTTTGCAGCAGCTGCCCCAGTTCCCTGTGGTTGGAAAGTAGATTTTGGTTTTAAAAGCAGTGGTCGGATCAGAGCTTGGATCAGTCCGTACACTTATTTTTCGCACAGTTGTCATTTCACTCTCTTCAGTTTGTAGTATACTACTGTAGTATATGTCTGGGTTATAATATTACAGTCTCTTAAACTTGTTGAAGGTATGTGACCGTTGTCTTTTCTCCACATCTGTTTCTCAGGAGAGCCCTAGTTTGTCTCAGGGCAGTCAAGTGTCACGGCCTCCGCCTTCTCTGCTCTTTAGCTGCCAGGTCGGTGTGGGCCGCACCAACCTCGGTATGATCCTGGGCACACTGGTAATGAATCGCCTGAGGGGTGATTCAGAGACACCAACTCAGTAAGAGCTCAGATTGTTCCACAATATCCTGCTAAAAATGTGTTTTCTATCCTGGATTTGTTGTATTTCATAAGTCAGAAGCAGTGGCATTTGACTGCATTTGTTTTGTGTTGTAGAGCGGAGGAGATGGTGACGCCTTCAGAGCCCAAACCGCTTTTCCAGGTCATCCAAACCCTGATCAACAAGCTGCCTAATGGTCAGCAACTCATGGAAGAGGTAAAAATGAAGACTGAATGTTAGAATTCCCTCTTTCTGTCTTTCTGTAAAGTTCCTTTCGATGTCATCCTGACCCACTCTGTCACATGTTACAGGTTGACCAGGCCATCATCCTGTGTTCTGAGATGCACAACATCAAAGAAGCAATGTATGAGAACAAGAATAAACTTGAAGGGATTGGAGAGGACTATCAAATACAGGTCAGAGCCGTGTGAGGTCTCTATCACATATATTCTACTTACAGACCATATATTGGAACTGGACTTTGGCAGGTAAGACTGACGAAGAACAGCCACGGTGCTGCTTCTATACAGCCTGAAAATACACCAGAAATTAGTCAAAAAAGATCATGTGGTCTTAAATGTTCTACTATATTTGTGTGCCAGGATTTTGTTGGACACACACCTTAGGGGCCAGACACAGTTATTATTATCCAATATTTGTATATGCTATGTTTTATTTAATCTCCATTTATATTCATGAGGATGATAAAATACAGTTCTTTAAGATTGTTTCAGGCGACCCCATTTGAATTCCAGGTGTACCCACAAGGGGTTGAAAAACATTGAGTTATATGGTGTCGCAAGTCATTCCTTCTTTGGGGCAGCATGGTAACGCTGCTATTGCAGACAAATAAAAGCACACTCTGGTCGATTATTACCTAGTATTCAAGTTTAAATATATTATATATATTTAAAAAGTCTTGGGATTATTGTTGATGTTTGTCAGAACGTCAGTGTCGAGGACTGTGCAGAAATATCATGTCATTGTCATGCATCACTATTAAATCATCGTGTTTTTTAGGGAAGCAGTACCAAAGACTACTTCCTCAGCAGAACCATGCAGAGCCTGGAGCGATACTTCTACTTGGTCGTATTTAATGCATATCTTCACGAACAGGTGGGATATAAAACAAAATATATATGTATATTTTGGCGAAAGTAAATGTTGCAATCAATCCACAGAAACATCAAAGACAGATGTTCAGCTAACCAAAGTTGTATTGCGTTATATTTTACAGTATCCGCTGGCGTTTGTGTCCAACTTCAGCCAGTGGATGTGCTGCCATGCCTGGCTGTACAGGCTGCTGGGCTGCATGGACCTGTCAGAGCTGTCGGCCTCAGCTGACCTGGTCACCAGAGGAGCTCGTGTTCTGGTGAGAAAATCAGACGTCTTGTCAAAAGTCTGTGGTTCTTGGCTTTCAATTGCATTGAAATCCAATACAAGCTGTGCTGTAATCCCATGATGCACTGTACTGAAAAGTACTATTAGGAGTTTAATGTCATTTTTGTAAACTTGTGAACTCAAAAATGACCTCATAAGGAAGTATGAATTTACATTCAAACTCACAGTTTGACAATTCTCTACAGATATTTGTTGATTCTAGTCTCATGTTTACACATGCCATCCACAGGTTGCCGATGAGTACTTGGCTCCTGACGTTCTCAGCACAATGAAGGAGATGAAAGCAGTCAATTTCCGACGAGTTCCCAAGATGCCCGTTTATGGAATGGCCCAGACCACATCAGAGGTGAACTTGTTTTATTCCTCTTCCACTGATGATCATGAGAGGGTAGTAAAGCTCAACTTTTCATAAAATGTTTATGCCACAACTGTCCCTCCCTTTTTGAAGAGTCATTTCACCAAATAGATAGGAGACGATTAAATGATATTTAATCATCACCACCGTACAACTGTACTTCCTGAAATATTTACGAGTGTAAACAAACTGCTGTGCCAACCATGCTCCATTCGTGCCACACTCCCAGTTTCATTTCCGTCTAATCGTCAAGTTGCTGTGTTCAGGCCACCACTGCAGTTTTGGCCCATCTCACTGATGAGAAGAGGAAGCACCAGCACGTGCTGTGGGTCAATCTGCAGGAAGAACTGGTGTTGGAAGGAAATGGTCAGATTTTTACACCAAGAGAGCCCTCGTGCTTAGAACAGCACATTCGTATCCCATCAACTGACCCACAAATAATAGAGGTAGGATTCAAGATTATTTTCTTATAAAGTGCTTGTGAAAGTCTGTCTTTTTATTTATGACAACATTTTAAAGTAAGAGAAAAGTGATGACCGATATATATTGCTGCCGGCTGGTTTCCAGAAACTGGAGACATCCCTGAAGGAGACGGTCCTTGGAGCTCAGAAGTGGCTGGAGGTGACACTGGAGCAGGACAAACAGATGAAAATGTTCAAAAGCTGCCTGACAGTCCAGGAGATCTTCAACCAGCATAAAAGCTCCCACCAGGGCTTAGTCTACAAACGCATCCCTCTGCCAGACTGCAGTGCACCCAAGGAGGAGGTAATGATGCCTGGTGGTGCATTCACACACACGTTCACTAATCAACATGGAATTTGAATATTTGAAGAAACGGCTGCTTACTTTGTCTGCTGAAAGGTGATGTTGCTAGATGATTATTGGGCTCCCTCTAGTGGATGAAATTGTTTTCGTCAGCCTGAGGTTATGGTTTCTGTTTAGTACTTTAGGTCCTAATACAGCAACAATGTCTAAAACTACAGTACTTGGCATCATTGCTTCTTAATAAAAGGCAGCAGATAGCAATCTGTCTGTCCTCATGTCTCTGCCCTCTGCCATGACTGTAAAATAAACCAAAACAATGCTTGAACATTTGATGAGATAAACATTAACATCATCACCGACAGATTTTTTTTATTTAAAAACACAATACTTAATATTTTTGAAAATGTAAATTAGTTTTGTCCTAAGTAGAAGTTTTTTTTTCTTTTAAGTCTTATTCCACTACATTACATTTGATATTGTGTACTCAGTGGTACTCTTGTGATCTTGTGTGTGACTTTGTGTGGTCTTTTCTCAGGACTTTGATAACCTGCTGGAGGCCATGAAGGGTACCCTCGCTGAGGAGTCCCACTCAGCCTTTGTTTTTAACTGCTCCAACGGCAAAAGCAGGAGCACCACAGCCATGGTCATCGCTGTCCTGACTCTGTGGCACTTTAAAGTAAGATGTCTGTCTTAGCATATTGTCTGGTAATTAAAACACAAACTCCTGAGTTTTTTTTAGTCTACATACAAGTGTCTGTGTCCTGTTTACAGGGCTTCCCAGAGTTCGGTGATGATGAGATTGTCAGTGTCCCTGATGCCAAGTACACAAAAGGAGAATTTGAGGTAAGTGAACTCCACAATGGGAAAAACTTAAAACCTTAATACATATCAAATGTTTGCTTCATGGTGAAAAATAATCATTAGAAAATAAATAAACATATAAATGTATAAATAAACTTTACAAATCAAGTGATTACTCAACAAAATGTCAACAAAAAAGTTTAGATTCACCCACAGTTGTTTGCATGTCATATGTTTATTGTCCAATTCTGAAATAACTTGAGCTAACTAAAAGCTCAGTACAAGAAAATATTACAACTTTATGTTAATATTCTCCTCCGCCAAGTGGGTAGGAAGGAATTTGGCAGCAAGTGGTGTGAGTTCAGAGACACCGACAGTGAACAGAGAGTGGGTTAAGGCAAGAATACTAGACACAACCCGCACAAAAAAACAAATTCCGTAAGATACCCTTGTGTTTACAAAGCTGATTGACTCAAATGTGAAGTTAAAGAGCAGCAGATAGCAATCTGTCCACACTGCTGTCTGTCAAAAAGAACCTTTTTTAAAAGGGTAAACGATGTTACCCTTTGGTTTCAATGGTTTTATGTGATAACAATTAACATTTAAATAATCAACAACAGATGAAACAACACTATAAATGCATATTTTTGAAAATGTAAATCAGTAAACATTTGTTTTTTAACTTTCATTTTCTAAATATACATATATATTTTACACTTTATTAAAATGTATCAAAACTTTTTTTTTTCTTCCTCACATGTCATATTACGTTTATTACATAAACACACTGATAACCTGACTTGCCTGGTTGACATGTTTTCTTGTGTGCGTTATACCACAACTTAAAATAAATTGACAAAAAATTGGCAAAACATTTGTATTGTTCACCTTCACATTACATAGAACACATGCAGGGAGGGTTGAAGGACTTTCCTCGCTGTGCTTGTGATTGAACAGCAGCTACAAATTGCACGTGTATAGTTGTGTGACTTGTTCATTTCCAAATAAACAGTGCACATCGATCAGACATACAGCACAGCGACCAAAGTGAAGCCTTTGTTGCTTTTCTTGGCCCTGGCTCTGCGCCTCTGATGAAAAGCTGTGGCTGAACAATGCCAGAAGGCAAAGCTGTTCTCCTCTGCTCTGAATAGTCTATGTGAATTTACGCCACTCTTTGTTATTTTGTTGTGAGAGGTGACAGTAATTTAGTGGTTGGAACCTGCTGACTGGGTCCACAGCTCTGACAAAGGAAGACACATGGAAAGACACACACACACAATGCCACATGTGAGTCCCAGCAGCACAGCCACAAAGGTTTCTGTCATACATGCAGTGGTTTCCACGGAAACTGCATCCACTTCCAGTTAAGCCACCGAAGGAAATACAACGATGTAATCCCTGTTGCCCTATGTGCATGGATGTGCCAACCCCTAATGGGCCATGGCTTCAGTGTGTTGTTATATAATTCCATTGTAGTTTGACTGACAGCACACAGCAGTGGAGTCACAAGAACCATTTTAGCAAGTTTGTGACAATTGTGGAAATTGGCAGTTGTACCAGTGTGGTGCCCACGAAGGTGGGAGATGTGGGAGACGGAGACAGAAGATGATGATTCCTCCACTCCTCTGTACACACAACAAATGACTTATAGGTTACAACAGTAATTATACACTACATCGAAATATGATACTGACTACACGCACACACACACACACACATATATATATATTCTTTTCATAAAACAGGAATGCTGTAGTGTTTTGTCTCTAAATTAGCTGCAGTCTTGTATTTTGTGCAAAATGAGATCTGAGTCCTTGACCTTTCCCTGATCAGGTGTAGACTTTAGAAATTATATATATATATATATATATATATATATATACATACATATATATATACATTTACATATATATATACATGCACATATATGTGTGTATATATTATCATGTATTAACTATGCTAATCAGAACATGTAGCTAGAGCATGCTGAATAAGTAAAAACGATTCCAAAGACATGTGTTAGATCAGAGCAGCACTCGCTGTGTTTTCAATTAGCCTACAGTAATTTACTGAGTTTGTGGGCTGCTGCTGACACCGAGAAGACTGTTACATGATTAATATCCAATGTAGACTAGCTACAGAGACAACTAACGGTGTTTATTAATGTAGGTGGGAGCTCTGGGGCACAGAGTGTTGTTGTTATACACCACTCAGACAGACAGGCTGATGGAAAAAGTTCCTCCAGGGTCAGTATATTAATAAAATGCCCCCCTTATCTCAGTTATCTCACTTCATCAGCGAAGCTGAATACTGACAAAGAAAAAGGCTTTGCTGGTCAGGCCTGACTGTTTACATTTGAATAGACCTTTTTATAGAAGGATATTATGAATATTATGACTGATAAATAGACCAGTTAAAAACATCGGGTTAAAGGTGTTTGGTGTAAATGATGGCAGTACATTAAGTGGATGTATGGTGTTCTGAAACTTGACTTTCTGGTCCAGGTGGTGATGCAGCTGGTTCGCCTGTTACCTGATGGTCACAGGATGAAAAGGGAGGTGGACATGGCCCTGGACTCTGTCAGCGAGACGATGACCCCCATGCACTACCACCTCAGAGAGATCATCATCTGCACGTACAGACAGGTACATACATACATTATGTCTACTTGGTGTTTGTTGTTGTTTCAGTCTTGGTGTACGCACAGGATCAGACAGGCTGACGAGTACAATTAGAAATCAAGGGCTCTGGAGAATTTCCATTATAAAAAAAAATCCTATTAAAACTCTCTGTTGAATATAGATTACAAATTAAAGGTTAGTTATTCTGTTCTTCTTTATCTTTTTATTTTATTTGAATAAAGTAATTATATGTTTTTTACACGTTTATTTTGGTCACTCTTGGTCGAGCTCATTTTCACATTCAATATTCCGGTGTAGTTGCATAGGGGCCCCATAGATGGCATCAGAAACTTGGTGTTGCCTCGGTTTAGCTTTGATGAATGAAAAGGATTCAGTGATGTGTAGGCAGCAACAGCAACAGCTACAGCAGCAGCAGCAGTGTGTGGAAAAACATTTGTGGAGTAACACATGTTATCTCTAGCATTCAATGAAATTCCTGTGAGTTTTAATGGAAAAGATTGAAAGGAAGGAGTGAGTTGGAAAAAAGAAGTAACTGCTGGTGAGAACATGTGGCTGGATCTCTATCACTATTGTGTGTGTTGCAGTGGTGTTGAGTAGGGAGGTGAACGGATAAATTACTGGTTGATTCATAAAATTTCTTGGTCCCTGAATTATTGTGTCTGAATTATTTTACCTTTAATTTACATTTTTAACCTTACATTTCTGTTTCTGACATTTTTATATTAAAAAAATGCTACTTAAACGTCTTGTTTTTTTTCCATTTTGATAAAGACGTCATGAGTATAACTTTTAGTATATACTCAGTATTTGAAGCTTTGTATGAAATTTTATGTGCAAGTAGAACAAATCTGATGAATTCTGTGTGTTGATAGAGCTCAAGCCAGTGTTGTCAATTGTGGCCACGTTTAAAGATAAACGAACATTAAGACGAACGAACATTTTTTTTATTACACCTTAGTACCAATTGTGTAAGGCAGTTTACCTTTAATTTGGGTGAGTCGTGTTTTTAGTCTTTGTACTCTGAAGAAGACAAAGAAAACATCGTCATCTCTACTTTCCCTGTACAGTTACGCCAGTGTGTTTCATCAACAAGTTGCTAAGAGAACAGAAGACATTTGTGGTGATGCTTCAAAGACCTATTTGCTCAAGGCCTTCGTCAACGTTCTGGCCTCTGCTGGTCCGGGCCTCTGTTTAAGTCATTTGTAATGCAAACTGTAATCATTGTGTCTCTGTGCACTGTCAGTCATTCTCTGCTAACTGGAGGCACCCAGCGCTCGCTCCACTGTATCAATGGGATTCATTGTCCCATAAATTCTGCCTTTTTCCCCCTTATGCTCTTTCACAGTCTGTCACTTAGTGGTGCCAGGCTCAGGGAAAGGACTCGCTGTCAGATCAAGATCATATCAGTTCAGAAATGTTCACAATTTTTAACACATCATAATAAATACCAATTACCCAATACCTAAATAATAGTCAACAGCAACAAACTGTGTGCAAACATAATTTCTATCTTTTCTTTTTTTTCTCATTTTACCTCACATCAGCCCCATTCCACTAATGCGGTTGGGGTTAAAAATAATTAAATAAATAAAGGTTATTATTGAACGTGAGTCAAGGTAAATATACGCAAGTGTAAAAAGACACACACAGAAAGTTACCTTTAGATTTAACAGCAACAACAATAACCCAAGGTTAAACTAAATTTACTAAAGATGCCTGAATTAAAGTTAGGTTGCCATGGTTACCAATTCTTTTCCATAGTTTCTCTATAATTATTTTTAATTAGACCTCATTTGTCATTTAAAAAGAATGATGAAATGCCCATAAGTGTGTGTTGAAATGGTAAATGTAATTTTATAGTTTTAATCTTTATACAATATAAAAAACTGAACTCTGTTAATGCTAAATGTGAACTAGCGTTTCTTAGAACCTAATGATAAGAGATACATTTGTTGTGTCTTGATGGGGATTTCATTGTAGCACAATGCTAGTTGAACTGTGCTGCTGGATTGTGGCATGACAGCAGCAGGGGACAGCAGGGGGACAACTGTTTTCAAAATTGGACCCCTTAACAACAAAGACAGATATCCATGTCTTACTGTGTCCAATACACTGATCCATGGCCACAACTACAAAGTCTTAAACCCAGACTGTGTTAAGCCTGACTGAGCTCAGGCTGGTACGATGAGTCTCTGCTCTCCTGTGTGATCCGGCAGGCCAGGTGATAAACACTGCCAGATGTTGCTACGACTCAGCAGTCAGCAGCAGACAAGAAGCTGGAGAAAAGGGAGAAAGAAAAAGAAGGGAACATTTCACCCCCACTCTCTCAGCCTTCTAGGAGCCCTCCCCTCTTTTTTTCTTCTTTTTTAAGCACCCGCCTTCTCGTCATTGAGTGGTTGGAAAATGTGTCTTTGATAGAAAGAAAAAAGTATGTACACTGAGATCCTTGCCACTCGCCTGCTGTCAGAGAGGCTGTGGAAGGAGCTGGAGTGTCTGGTAGAAGGGGTGCGGGGTGGGGGGCTTCTTCTTGTAGGGCCTTTGAATCCCCGCTGCCAGCCAGACATAACCTCACCCTGCTTGACAATGAAACACTTTTATATTTGACACTAAAACACAATTTATTAAAGCAAACGTTTGTTCTACTTCTTAAAATTGAAGCTTAACACGCTCCCCCTGTTTCAAGTCTTACCGTGTTAGTCGAAATTGTTATCTTATTTACAAGGATTTGAAATGCGTTGCTTTTTCACTCGAGCGGATCACAAAAGGAGACGCGTGCTGCGAGAATACATGAGTGGCAAATCGTGCTGTGTTTTGTTCTGTGACTCAGGGCAGTGGAAAAATATTTTTTCAAAAAGGAGAATGCTGGGAGCAGGGGGATGGTATATACTGTTTTACACACAGAGAGGAAAAGTAGGCCTGAAAAAAGTGTTTTACAAAGTTCCCTAATTAGCACAACAACTGATAAGAGATGTACGTAATACGCTAAGCAAAGGAAGAAAACCTCTGCTCCGTGCTGAACTGAAAAAGTAAGCTGTCAGTTACAAACTTTTTTTATATATATTTTATATGTAACATATGTTGGCAAAGAAGGGCCACTAGGTGGAAAAAAGATGTGGGTGCTCTCGCATTACAGCAATAACATCTCAGTTCTAGTCCTCGATCTTAGAGTTGTCATGTTCTACCAATGTGTGCATTTGAATTATCTCCCAAAAAATGTTGTGTAAAAAAAATAGGGAATAGGTAATAATTTCTGTGAACAAAGAGCCAGGCAGTGGTAGTGTGGTGGTCTTTGCCACCCAGGCTTAGGCTGGGTGATAACTTTACAAAATAATACTCCCCCAGGCAGTTGCCGCTGATATATTTGTCAGACATTGGTACTCCCACGTTGCACATCTAAGCTCATAATTCCAATAGTCCAATTAAATTTTCTCAAGTGAGGTTGACCACTTGACATAAGTGGGCCAATCAAAAGGTGGACTCGGTCAAAGCCAAGAGAAACACCAGCAGTAAAATGAGTCCACATAAACCAGGACCTGTCCTCATCCTCCTCCCTCGCCTCCTTTCCTGAGGTGTGACTTCTGAAGAGAGGGCTCTATTTAGGTCTAGCAGAATGTGGGAGGGAGGACAGAGCCAGGAGCTGTTGTTTTATTCATAATTTCCAGCCTGCCTCATATGCCACTGAGAGGTCCTGACTGCAGAATGGCAGAACAGGTGCAACCGGCTCAACTCTGACACGGGGTGTCGGTGTGTTGGACAGTAAAGAGCCATGTTACATTTATATCTGTGACCAGGATGCACGTAGGTATGTGGTCCATAGATAAATAAAGGTTGTCTGAGAAATGTTCCTAAAAGTTTAGCTAGACAGGAACTTGCAAACAGCTGCTGTGTTTTCACAACTTTAGTTCCCCTAAAGCTGTTCTGTGAACTCCCTGTTCTATCCACCAGAGGAATACTCGTAAATGATGCTGCATCCTACATTTTATTCTTTAAAAAAAAAAAACTATATTTAATCATATGAATAAATGAATCAGTGGAATTGACAAAGAAAAAATCTTCCTGCAGAAAACAAGAGTGCTTACAGTTCTTCTGAACTCCAGGAAATCATGATTGCCATGAGTTATGATTGCATGTTGGTGTATGTGCTGCAGGTGGCCTGTGTTGATCACACCACATCCGGCAGCAGCCAATGATAATAGGCATTATTAACACAAGAAACCCAGGAATAAATCAGCGAAGTCACTGAAGCTGTTGTCGGAGCGAATGATTCCATCCTCCGTTTTCAACTGATTGCTGGTTCGACTTTTATGACTTTTTTAAGTTTCAGAGTTCTAATACTTCAAAATACAATACCTAAGAGCCCAAATGTTTGAATGTATTAAAAATGGTGAAATAAAGTCTATGGATATCAGTTTGTCAACTGATACTTTCAGGAACACACGCAGTACCCACAACAGATAAAATACCAGAATTAAAACTGCCTGAATTTTATTAATCAATAATTGTGGTTAATAGTGGTTAATTAAAAAATCTTAGACATAAAGTGCCACCTGGTGGATACTGTTTAAACATGAACACAATTAGCTATGCGATTTGGGGAAAAGTATTTCCCCATTTTATACAAACCATAAAAGTAGCATTTTAGCATACCTGCTTTGTTTATCCTTTAAAACAACAGTTTTATCATCCAAAAATATTGTTTTTTCCCCCATAATGTCAGTTGAATAATGTATGTTCTACTTTGCATCATTAAAATCACAGTTTTCTTATACTCTCAATGTTAAAACAGACTGTTTTATTTGGCCATTTTCTGACACAGGTGACACTCATGTTGCTGTGCTAATGATGCTATCACACAAAGTGATACTTTAGTTATTGAAGCTGTTAGAACCCTTGCCCCCTGCAAAAAAGAGATCCATGCAGCATTGACAAAACAAGCCTGAAAGACATGACCCACTTTTCAGATTTGTGTAAATACAGAGTTGCCTGTCAGAACACCCAACAAA